GAATGCATGACATGATTATCGTAGAGCAAATAATATAAACGTTTTCGCCGACATCACTTAGGTGGAGGATAACCACAGTGCCAAGGTTTTCTCTATAACTTCAGTAAGACAACCCAAATGTTTTTATCGCCCTCCGCTAACCTAGAAGGTAGGATGTCCGTCAGATTCAAAGAAAGAAGGATAAAGAATACGCGAAATCCAAATTTTCCTTATAGGCTAACTTACCGACAATGAGGTTGGAAGCGATAAGAGGTAGGATTGTTAACTCAAGAAGTCTGATGTAAATGTTGCCCGGCATCTCTAAACATAAAGGGGAAATTTAGGTCTGGAGAAGCAAATTCGGTAGAAACCTAAAAATTCGACCGACATAAAAACGAGGAGGCACATCCCTATTTGTGATTAGTTGCCCTGAAATTCATATGAATTTCAAATAACTAACAGATGCGGTAATGGCTGCTAGCATGGGTTCTAATGCAATTCACGATAAAATAAGAAAGCAAGCAGGTAAGTAGGCAAGTAGACATTGTTTTCAAAAACACATTACTTTTTCGTCTCTTCTAGCATAAGTATTGGCTTCTCGGTCCATTGAAGACGAAAAAATGCAGGTACAAATAAATACCTTATTTTGCACAGGAAGAGCAAAATTCAGTTTGTTTTTTTTTGAGATGAGTACAATAATTAAACTTGTTCATTGAGTTTAAAACGGATGTGACTAGGTGGTGGGGGGTGACCAAATAAATAAAAATCTTACCGATCCACACAATTGCCTCGGCTGAGGGTTTCAGCTCTCTTACGCCAAAACCGATACCGAATCCCACAACCACTCCAAGTAGGATAAAAATCACGAAAAGATTGTCGCGCAGACAGCCCACACAACCACCCTTTTTCTCCTTCTGTGCTTTTAGCTCATCCTCAGTCTCATAGAAGGAGACGGCTGAATCGCCCTCGTGGTCGGCTTTCTTAGTAGAGGACATGGCGACCAGTGTTTGATAACCGGCGAGGGCCGTGGTTAGAAGCTCTTATATGCATCGCCCTGCCCTCTGACCTCGGAAGGCAAGGTGGGCTGTGCACGCGTAAAAAAACGGCCTCGACTCGCACGCTGACAAAATTCTTGGTGCCATCACGTTAGGTTATCAAAAAAACGCATTTGCTCGTGCGTGGTATCTGGAGGGTGGATTCGAGGAACTTCTTACGAGTCCCGATTCTCCGATTACCACATTAAGGCGAAGAGGACTCAGATGCCGTACGTAACTCTAAATGAGTGCACTCTCGTCGGGAAGTAGTACAGACGTCTTGGCACATTCTACACCAGTACTGTGTACTTAAATACGACTCCAATAGTCGGCGTGTCTTCATAGCGTCGTTTAATATATGTGGAAGGATTCCATTTTATAAAACATTTTGGGTGGTATGAATAAATTGGCCATTTGTAGTGTATTAATTGGTTCTACTTAGAGAGGCCTTACGTAGGTTTTTGATAAAATCGCAAGTTCATGACGGACTTCGGTAAGGTTTAAGCATACACAAGTCTGGAAAACAAAGGGACCAATTCCAGGCTACCAGAGCAGGCACTTCCCATCGTTGAGCCGCGTGGGACACAGATACAAATGCAGCGGCGTCCCCACTATATTCTGTGGGGTGACTGTGCCTAGACAGACCAATCAGTTAAGCTGTGTGCGGACAGACGATCACTGCTTACGATGACGGTGCTAATACACCAAATATCTGACTGATTATCACACCAATAAACAAAGATGGTAATAAGATCATGGCATTTTAACTCTCGGACGAGGACGAACAGGCCGTCATGTTACTAAGTATGACGAACACGGATGAATGAGAAAGCTGTTTATTTTGTTACGGCGCCCGTCTCCTATAGATACGACAGCTGCCATGTGTCTTCATCTCTGATCGTAAGTCCTAGTGTTAATCCGGACAGTCAAGTGAAGAATATTCTCGTTTCAACGATCACACTTTTTAATTCGGAAGATTAAAGTACTGATACCATCTGGACCGGACTCTAAAATTCGATCTGGGCTTCTGTCACGAAGGTGTTCGCAATCACAAAACCCTGGATTCCGCAATCAAATCCACTAGATCGATGCAGCAATCCAAAGCTAATTGTTGAGGAACTAAAGATTTAAGCATGCTTTTGGAAAAAACAAGACAGAGGTAAACAAAACCGACATTTTCAGATGCAAATGCAAACTGTAAATGTAACAGAAGCAGCGGCTAGCACCTGACTGAGACATAAGGCGGAAGAAGTCGTCAGATATGCTGAACACTGCGAAATGTTAAACTTTGGTTGTGCCTCCAGGATGTCCAGAACCCAGAGATCTGTACTACTTGGACTTCGAGATTAGCACTTTAGGGGCTTCTTCCACCAAACGACTTTTGTCTGCAAAGAGGCTGTTGATAGGGTTCCCTTTTGGCTGAAGGCATCACTTACTTTGACGTAAAGGATTCCACCGACGCCTCTCCTTGCGTTGCATCGTGGAGGAAATCGGTGTGCGCATCCTCCTTAGTCGTCAAAACGGCATTCGAAACAAAGGTTTCAAGCAGAGACGAAATTCGAATTACGCAGACAGGGCAAAACAGTCCATATACTGCTTCAGGATTGTGTATAGCGACAGAAGTGTCCGAAAATGCCACCTTTTATTTAGGCTACCAACGTTGGTCTCAAAAGGGCTCTTTGAAACGACGAGCATCCCACTAGCCATATAGCAGAACGCGAACGAACCTGTTAAATTAGCCAGATTTTTCCACCGGCGTCACGCAAACAGACCAAATTGGTCCCACCTTCGTTGTTTTCAGAAATCTGTGAAGTTGAAATGGCAGTAATAGATTCCGCTCAAAGTAGGCCCAGCAATCGACCAGTATTCCTAATATTTTCAAAATGTCTAATAGATCCGACTTTGTTGAATCATCCGCGTCGTAAGACTGAGAGATCACAGTCTACCAAAGCATTTTTGAAAGGTCAGAATACAGCATTTGATCACAGACAATGTTATCAGTAACACTATATGAAAACAAGAGCTCCCGTATAAGTAAGGATTCCAAATGATTTTCTGTGAATATCGGCAGTTCACGCACTTCGCCATAACAATCTATGTAGTCACAATACAGGACAATTTGACACATGCAGCCACGAGTAAACTCCTAGAAAGTAAGGTCTGAATGTTACAGAACAACCCAGTAAAAATCAGCAGTCCCAAAATTAATGCCCCGACACCACACTCAAAATTCAGATTTGCCCTTTTCAACATTTTCTGCTCATTTGGACGATAACAAAGGGATCAAACGTATACCGGATATCGAAGGATGCATAAACGCGGATAAAACTATGGTCACTTAACCTTAATGTAAGCTTACGCTCTATATTCGCACAATCCTCACTCAACAAGCTACTGAAATAAGAGCTACTTCCGGAAAAGAATTGCATCACCACCTAATTGCTAACGAACAATTAAGACCAACAGAGCAGCTCTCTTGTCAGCAGTCGTTTAAGACTAGAACAAGCCTTGTTAGACAATTTTGAAGTCACCATAATGTCAATCCGACTAACCCATTTCATCTAAACAAGGCGACATCATCACTGAAGAGACGTTCCAAATCTGCTCTTGCCCTATTGCCACGTTCAAGGCCCGATTCGTGCTAACTAAAATGGATGGAGCAACACGATACAGAAGAAAACCGCCAGCAATGCATACATGGGATAGAATTACCCCCTGATGTAGTCCTATATATCAATCCCGCATCAGTCATGTAGGGGCACGTATGTATGCACTACAGCGCGACTGAGAGGCAACTAACTGGAGCGCTGGCTAACAGCTGCCTTGCTAACGTTCCCTGCTACACTGCACCCACACATTTAGGGTTACTGAAGGCAGTCGGATATATTAACACATACCCTACAACAATCACCGAAATATTGTCCAACCTCATATTCATATCATTCCCAAACACATACTGGACGAATGATTGTTGGAACACCACGAAAGTTAGTGTTCACCATTCACACCAAATGAGTCAGTGCAAAATTACTGCGACTAACCTATAACGTAGTTTATTGTGAGAGTAGACCCACGGTCTTCTACTACGGATTTTCGTGGACGCCCATGCGGTTTCCGGATAACAGTGAGAAGTGTGGGTAGTCGAAGTGGGTGTATATTGGTGCCCCTGACACCGGTTTGCCAATCTCGGCAAGAGTGATTCACGAGTGACCGACCAGGCTGCTGCGTGACGTGCATGTGCGCTGACAGCGTGGAGAATGCAGGTTGTTGGCAATCGAGTTGGTTGTGGTGGCGTTGCTAACGGAGCCGACGGTGGGGGATTTGTTGGATGTGAAAGGTAGGTTTGTCATGTCGCCATTGTTGCCAATTCGCCTGACATGGATGTACATGCAGTGGTGGAGTAACCGAAAATATTGTGGGCGGATTATGAGCGTGCGAGGGGTGCCTGTCTTGACTACAGACACTGGTTCACCGGTCTCGGTGTGACAAAGTTGTAAGTGAAGAGACGAGTCCCAGGAAGTAGTCTTGAAGAAGAAGACACGATCGCCGGGACAAGAGCTTTATTAGCTTGTATTGTACTCGCTTCGGCGGTACATATACTACGTGCTAAAACTTCGCCTAGGCGGAGTAACAAGCCATGCGGGGGAGCACAGAGGTGAACACTTGTCCCAACACCGGGGTCGGTGCGTCAGATGGTGGAGCAATCAGCACGCCAACATCCAACGCACGTGATGAAATTGCAGCAATTATTGACTCGAATGTCGGTCATCGAGCAGTGATCACACCAAGTGCGATGATCCCGGATGAAGGGGGGAGCCGTGAATGTTCATAGGTATGCGGTAGCATGGCTACGGCATCCTATAAATATTGCAGCCCCTTGTGCAGCAACCACCAGTTTCTGCTCTTTTGTCGCTGATGATGGATTCGAGTAGGAATCCGAAATGTCAGGCTAATAAAGCTCTTGTCCCGGCGATCGTGTCTCCTTCTTCAAAGTTGTAAGTGACCGGCCAGGCCAATGCGTGATGTGATATTGCGATCGCAGTAGGGACAAGTTAGGGTCGAGTCCGCATTGCCGGAAGAGGGGACGGTGTTGGTGGTGGTGGCGAAGAAGGAGGAGGAGGAGAATAATGATGCTGTGGTTGTTAGGTGGACGTCGACAATGTTAGCACTGGGTGCATTCAGGTCGCCCTCGTCGCCGGTCTGCGGCTGTGGCATTGATGGTCGAGATGTTAGTTGGTGGCGGAGCATCGGGAATTTTCGTCCCGGTAATGGTGCTCATCGTTAACGTTGTGGGGTTTGTGCCGATGGTGAAGATGGAGTCTTTTTCAGATGCAGGTAGGGAATTGCCGTATTGTCATTTCACTGGGTCCTTAGATGTTTAGTAAAGACGATCCATGAGCGGAATGTCCGTCGGTAGCGGGAGAAGAATAAAAGGGATTGATTTTTGGATTAGCTGATCCGCGGCACTTAATACCCGCGAGCGGGCGTTTGTTGTCTTGGCAACGGCTAATCATTGGACAGCGGATGTGGCTGTTTCAGCATTGAAGGACGTGCTAAAGGGCTGATCTATAGGTCTTCAGTATGCCAAAAGACTGCATAGCCGGCCTTATGATCACGCTTAGCACAGAAGGCCATTTGGGAGTTACATATAAGTCATTGTGGACGGCTATCAAAGCCGATCGGTATTTTTCAAATACGTGCTGTTACCATCACCGAAAACGAGCAAAATGTAACCATAAAGCGTCGCTGACGCTCGTAATTCAAATACTATTGATTTTCTTAGTTAAATATGTACGAAGAGACGAGGTAGACGGAACAGCCAAACGATAAAAAATTCCGAAAGATAATAACCTGCTTTGGCGCTTGGCACATCACCACTGCACACTTTCTGCCCTCAAGAGTTGATGCGAGGATTTCGTCAGCCAAGCTTTGCGATAGACCAATCCCCTCTGTCAGCAAATTACGTGATATCCGAGTGCAGTCCGCGCACCTGAGAGCCAACTTATTAGTGCGCACATGTTCACCCAAGGTCACTCGGTTGGGGATATTTCCATGGAGCAGGCGGTGACACTGAGCATTCTGCTGTCATAAGCACTAAAAAACGTACTATAGCTGTCACCAGTTCGTAAAAGTTTAAACAGGAAGAAAACAACTCTTAGAATATTCGGACTGCCAACTGAACCGGAGCTGAATATTAACTCCTAGACGAAGTCGATCGGCGTTTGGAATAAGCAAGGCCATCGGCGTAGGATTTTCGCAATAGCATACTCGCCCTTAGATCTAGCACCATACCTCGTACCAGCATCAGCATTGAGTTAATTAATCTTGAGACAACTTATGACGCAATTTCTGACAGGATCTAATTGTCCGAACTTCGCATGTCTCAGCGTGAGACCACACACACAGGCGGGCACTTTATAACGTTACCGGGAATTGTATAAGTCTAACGCTCGAACACTAACCTCTTAAGGGAGAAAATGCCGAAGATAATGCGATAGTTCGACCGTCGCTAACACTGACGTAAACCGTGTGCTCCACAGCCGGCTGACAGCAGGCACGGTAATTTGCGCGTGAACTAGTTTATAGTGAGGGTAGACTTGCGCACGTCTACTGCCCTATTTCTCCCTCCCTCGCCAGGGATCGGTGTCAGGACAAAGTAAAAAAGACCGGAGATGAGAGGGGATGCAAGTGGCTGGCACAGACGGACTCGAACCTAGGTCTACCATCACGCCTCCTATCCATTAAACGAGCAAGGCAGCGTGTTATACACCAAGAAAAGAAATAGGGGAACTGATCGGAATTCAAACTGACAGGGTGAGAGCTTGCAGCGGGGCCCACAGCAAAAACTCTGGTCCACAATACACACAGTCAGGGATTTAGACTCAAACAAATACGAGGGCAATGAGTGGTGCTGACGAGGATGCCACTAGGCGGGATGTAATGTTCGGGTCCGATCTCACGGAGTGCATTAAAGTAGCAGGAGGGTCAGATCGAAAGGAAGCCAAGGTAAACGCTTGTCGCTTGTGTAACGGGAGGGGGCGGATCCATGTCTTGTGTTGAGTGATGTGGGAACTACAAACATAAATACTAGCTAAGAGGCCATTTCGTTGTTTTAACCGCTACATGATGCGAGGGTTTCGATCCCTCAGTGTGTCACTCATCATTCCCTCTGATGGATGCATTACGTGGACGACACCTTTGTCGTTTTACTTCTGAACGAGAAAGAGAGGACTTTAAAAACAACTTTTCTCGACTCTCTCCAAATTTACAATAAAAAGAGGAAATGACGGAGGGTTTCCCTCCTTCAACAATTATGTATTCCGGCTAGAATCTGGAACCCTCCAGACAGGTGTCTTACGAAGAGCAACAAACGCGGCGAAAGTCATCCATTACGGCAGTAGCCATCCTCCGTAATATAAACGCAGCCGCGTCCGAAGATTCTTTGCCAAATCGGCTCGCATTACAGCACAGAGGCGGAGAATGTGCGGAAGTTTAAATTTCTATGACACCTATTCCTCTTTCCAAGGGATAGCCGGATGGCTTCCTAAAAAATGCTAGCATTGCAGCACATGAATTTGGCTTGTAAGCAAAAGCTCTGTGTGAGAGGACGTCTCCGAAGTCACTGAGTCCATGTTAGTACCGCTTAACGTGGGTTTTGGCAACTGGCTGGAGGCTATGGTCTGCAGCACAGGGAACGGTTGTCACCTGACGACACGTTCTGGCTAACTACTGCTCCATGCTCATCAGACGTCTAAGAACTAGCTTGCGTAAACACCCTGCAGCCACAAAGCGGAAAAGTGCGCGACCGAATGTCGTCATGCACAGTTTGTAAAATTATCATCAGTTCGTCTGTGATAGTGCCGATGCACTCGGCTGAGCGGAAAGCAAACTGCCGAGCGAAAGCCTAACAATCGGACGCTAACTCGATCAATCGCAGGATCGAACTGCCAACACCACACGAGGCCATCAGATATCATTTCCACACGAGGGGATTGACGAACGAAAAGAGAGCTTTGAGCACCAATCAGGATTGAGTAAGAGTGACTTATTCAATCTATCCATTTCCCATTGTCCTATCACATAGAACATGTTATGAATATGGATATGAACATGGATATGAAAGGGTACATAATTTGCCCGTCCCCCCGACATCGTCCTGCCTCCGTGTCTGGTTGACTAAGGATGGCTAATGGGCTAGAAATGGTCATTACTCTGTTCCCGTCAGTAAACTTCATTTGCGTATTTTGTTGGTCATTCTGCAACTTCCTGTGGGACTAGCCATCTAGACCTAAAGCACCACCTGAATAGGAAATCCTGAAATTCGATCTGTGACTACACTTCTGACACCAAATCACATGTGTATGTATAAAACCCCGCCTAGGTAATGGGGATGTGCTCCACAGTTGAGTCCTTCCATCCGACATTGGTTTTTTATCAGTTCGAAACTTTCTCTGGTAGAGCACTCAATTTAACTTTCGGACACTACATAGCCGACTCTTTATTCCATGCAATGTGTATTTCAAATGCTATTTTGTTCCGTATCTTAGCATTACAGTGTTAGGGTCACATTATGCAAATATTTAAAAGTGCTTAACTGGCAGCCATAAAACTCAGAAATTCGTGTAGGTTGCTTTCTTCGCGCTTAGCCTTTTACGAACTGGTGACAGCTATAGTACGTTTTTTAGTGTTTATGAAGGCGGAATGCTCAGAGTGTCACCATCTGCTTCATGGAAATATACCCTGTCGAGCACCATGGGTGAGCATGTGCGCACTAATAAGTTGGCTCTCAGGTGCGCGGACTGCACTCGGATATCACGTAAGTTGCTGACAGAGGGGATTGGTCGTGTGCAATGCTTGGCTGACGAAATCCTCGCATCAGCTCTTGAGGGCAGAAAGTGTGCAGTAGCGATGTGTCAAGCGTCAAAGTGGATTCTTCTGAATTATCTTAATCTTAGGACAAGGGAGGTCTTAGATGCTTACAACGGATAACTCCTCTATTTGAGGCATCGCTTTCTCGGAATATATTTGATCAACGCGATGGCGACGAAATATGCAGGATATTTTGGCGTCATAAGATTCTGTGAGTCCTTATTCAACTGCAGACTGTCATTGCGAATTTATAAGATAAGGTAAACTGTCCCGTCAGAGGTCAGCCTTGGGTGCATAAAATTATAGTCAAACAAAACAGGTTGTGGACGATGCGCTCCTCGATCTTTTCTGCGGAACTCATCCGTCCCATTGTGTCTAACGGGCCCTACTTAGAGCCCAATCTGCAGCCGCACAACGGCGCACGATACAGGCAGAATGGTATCACCGACAAAGACAGTGGAGATTGTCTCCCTTTATGGAATTAGCGTCAGTAACAAAAACGCATTCTAGATTCTAACACCTGCTCGGAATACAAGTGTCTCCTGAACAACACCTTCATCCGCCTTCCGAAGCGGGAGAAGGCAGCGCTGATGGACGCTCGCTTCTGGCTCTATGGGCTGCGTGGGGAGGGGGAACCGTCACGTCGTATTAGTGACATCGGTACCGACGATTGTAGGCACCATAACCTTGTCATTGTCAAGATGAGGCTACGAATACAACCCCTCCGGCGAACACAGAGTTAGTGGATATAACTTAGGTTAAGTACCGCTCTGTTGAATTTGTCTGCCCACCGCTCTATTTCAGACTTCAACTGACCCACCACCTGGTAGAAATGAAGGCTGAGAAAGAGAACACAACTTTGGAGATGCACTGTTGTCAACTACAGGATGTCATGTACACTACTGCACTGGGCCTCTTTAACCGCGCACTCCGCAAACGTCAGACTTGTCTCGGCTACAAGGACGAAGAAATCTCTTATCTGTTTTCCAATAAGAACGGGCTATACATGATCTACGATAACAGTTTAACTGACGAAAAAAGTAGCCTTCTTCCGTCATCGACGCGTAGTGCAACAAAGGACCGTGAGAAGTGTGAAGCAACTCGATGGGTCGTAACGCTTAAGGTTTACGAGGTTAAGCGGACCACTGCAATATGCAAAACTTTGGTCGGATGTGGTTTGGTAGTCCCACCTGAGGGAAAAAAATCCCAGTCACCTCTAATACGGGACTGGGGGTAATAGGGGTTTTTAAAGGTGGAGTGGAGGTGACGACGAAGTCAAGTAGTTGTGTGCAAACGGTAAGCCATTGGGAATGCGTGGTTGTACTTTCAGTGGTTGATAAATAGTTGCGCTAACTCTTAACCCTAATCCCAACCCCTAA